CTTTTTTTAAACTTTTACACCCTGCCCTTCTTTCTGCCTAGAATGAGCTCTGCTTATATGAGGAGACCAAAGACTGCTGGTAAGAAAATAAATTGCCTTACCTGCAGTCTTTGATCTACATATCAGATTTGAAAATAATGTGTAGGTACATATTAAAAAAATGTAGCTTTTAAAATTATAGAAATTTGAATATCTATATAAAAAAAAATTAAATTTTATACTCTATGTTCAACTAAAAAAATGTTTTCCTTGTCCAACTTTTTATAAAGTTGTCTAAGTAATACAAAGGTCTATATGTATTTTTGCGAGTTGTTTAAATTTGAACATAGATTAATAGTTTGTACTATTTTAATTTTTTTTTTATTCCTAATATTTAATATTGATGTAAATAAAGGAAATTTTATACAAATAAATTTTAACTTCATGTTCAATTTAGGAATTGATGTATAATTCTATGTATAGAAAAGTATTACTAATATCTAAAAAAGTTAAATTATTGGAAATTTACTATTTCATGTTTGTTTATTTGTTTGTTTCTACTGCTGAGATACACCAAAAATTTATTTCATTTAAGTAATGTTATATATCTTCTTTTCATGTGCTGGTTATTGGTAGTATTATCTAAAGAGTCAATTCAGAAAGAAATTAGATTCGTTTCAAAACCCTTCTTAAAGTTCTGAACAACAAGAAGGATCCTTCACAAAAATATATATTAGTAACCAGACTCAAATTAAATTAAACCCGATTAAAAAAATATTGCGAAAATAACATCTCAATGAAAAAACTTTTTGCAAGCAATCTTTTGACTCTTGCAATTATTTTAAACCTTTTTCATCGCCACCTAATTTTGATGAAATTTGTTTGAAAATTATTGAATTTTATAAGTGTTTAAGTTTTATAAAACTTTATATATTGAGTATTATGCATAGCAACTAGCAACATATATTTTTCTAAATTTAGCAGTTTTTTGATTATATATAACTTGTCATTGACTTACCTTGTTTTATCTTATACTTGTCTTTCTTTGTAATATCCAAAATCTAAGTCACTCAGAAATATTTCATTAATAACTTTTGATAAATATTTCTGTAAGAATCACTTCTCATGCAAATAATACAAAAATGTATAATTATTATTTTCTTTTACTTGTGTTGTTACAATTCTAAAAGTAATTATTATAAATATAATAATTTTGTATAAATTATGGCTGAACAAAGGTTTTATTGACCTAGTTTATTGTGGGTGTGGGCCACTTCCTCAAACCACAAAAAGCCTTATTTTGCCCTGTAAAAATTTTTTAAAGACCCTGTTTACAAAATTGTAGTATTTATATAGATATAAGGAAATTCTCAACAATTTTATTTAAAAAAAAACTAATTTAAAACTATATTTTTGATAAGGGATTTCAGTTGAGCACTCAGCAGTCCCGTGCCCTGGGAAAATTACCCTTTTCCCCTTTATAAGTTCAGCTTTATTGCAAATTAATGAAACATAATTAGCTACACCAGGAAAACTTACAAGAAGAATATGTTGTCATTTTCCCATTAACTTTCAATAGACAAATTAGTTTGTAAAAAAAAAAAAAAATTATGATGAATAAATAAATTTTCCTGACCTAGATGAATAAATAAATTTTCCTGACCTAGTTAATAGTAAAATTCCTTAAAAGTTTTCTATTTTGCAGTTTTCTTTTCTTTTGAATAGTTTAACTATTTTTTACTGTATATTATATTCTAGATGGCACATTGCATTCTTTTATTAGTTCATTATTCATTGTATATAATATTTAAATATATTCCTTTTGATTGAAAGTTAAATAATTGCAGTTATGATTATTTTTTTCTTAACTAAGAAAACTCATTTATTTTTATATAAATCATTTTCATTATTTGACTGACAATTTGTGTATAATAAAGAATACACTTTCAAATCAAAATTAATTTCAGATTTGATTTTCAAATTATTGTAGACAGACTATTTAAATTTGCTAACATGAGATTTTTGAATTTTTTTTTTTTTCATTTTTAAATTCCTTTAATTTTTCTGTATTTAAGACTTAATATATTGTTATATAAATATGGTTTTTGTAAAAGCATAACTTTTATTAATGTAGGTCCTTAAACTTAAACAAAAACAATTTTTACAAAATTCCATATTGTTTTTTTTATTTCCTATAATTCCAAATGCAGGATCTGCCCAAGAAATCCTTGATTGACTCTTGACCTGAATCTGCTTTGCCAAAGCAAGAAGCTATATAAATTATGAATCAATTATTTATTTTCTTGATATTTTACATAAAGAAAAATTTTTTCATTTATTTATTATCATAAAACAATGAACAAATTTAATTTTCTGCTGTGTAATATAATTTAATAAAAATATCACAAAGTTAAGAAAAGAAATTAATTTGCTTTTGTCTTCTTAGTTTTTCAAATGATGACTATTATATTATTTAAAAAAAGTAATTAAAAAATCAATTCATGTTGCATTTAAATGTTTTTTAGTTTCATGAAATGAATAATAAAAAATATAAATATATTTATGTCAATTCATATTGCTGAGTTACTGTTATTATGAACTTTTCAGAAAGAAAAATAAAATTCTTTAGTCAATGACCTTTTTTTTATGAATATTTCAACATAAAAATATTTTTCTAAGTACGGTATATAAACAAACATTTAGCATTAACAAACGAGTGTTTGATTGTAGAAATAAACTAATAAAGTACATATTATTATTAAAAAATTTAAAAACATAATTTTACTCATTTAAAATATTTAAAAAAAAAATTCTAAATAAAAAATATTCTACTACATGCATGCAGACTGGACAAGTTTCTCTTAATTAAGAATTATGCAGCTAAATTTTGAACTTTATTTTTTGTCATTTCTACGTAATTAAAATTTTTTTATTTTTTTATAGCATGGAATTTTAGTGGACTTTAACGAAGTCATCCACACATCTTCAGCACCTAAAGTTACAAATGCCTTTCAATTCCAAAGCTCCAAAAATGAATGTCCTGTGAGTATATTTTTATTTATTTTATTTTTTCATATGCTGTTTATATTCATGTGCTAATTGCATGGAGATTAAGGATCCACTGTCGTGCCGTTGGTCATGAAATTATGGAGCCTTTATCTACATGACTTTCTTGGCCCACAATGTGCTGTTGCAAGAATGCATTCCTTTTTGCTTATATTTTTGCTACATTTTTTTTAAAAATGAATTATTTTGTTTTAGTTTGATTAAACATAGTTTAATAAGTAACTTGTTTAAAATTATGGTTATAGATCCTCAGATTAAATTTGCGGTTTGATTCACACGTTTTTTGTTTTTGGCCCCAGGACAAAATTATTGTGGGACATTTCCTCTAAGCTCATAAAGTCTTATTTTTATATTTTGTGGAATATTTGAAGACCCTTTATTCAAAATGAGAGATTTTATATAGTTTCAAAGGAATTCTCTACAACTTTCTTTTTAAAAAAACTACTTAAAAGCAACATTTTTTGGAAGAAAATTTGACCTAGCCTTCAGAAGTCCCCAACCGTGGAACAATCGATTTTATCTTCCCTTTAGCAGGCTTATAGGGAAAGCTTCACTTTCTGATGTGTTTCTAAACATTTTGAATATGTCATTTAATTCTTCATAAATATCTTTTCAAAGTACCTTGTAGAATATTGAAGTTAATTTGTATTTATTGAACAAAGACTATTTAAGGGTTTTGTTCTGAGTTGTTAAAAAAAGACTTGTAAAAATTTTAATATTTTTTAAATTCAGTGCACAATTTCTAATTCCTGTATGAATTATGTTGATAATTATAAAAGTAGTGTAACTCCATATTTATAATCTGTATCTTTTTTCTTGACTGTGTGACATTTATTCACATCTTTCAATATCAAAGCTTCATTAATGCATATAAATCTCATAGATAACACTTGCTGAATGCTAGTATTTCTTTTCTTACGCACAAATTTGTAAAAGCTCATTATTTAAAGCAATTATAAGGAACTTCATCGCTCTTACATTGAATTATCCAGTTTTCATTTTGTACTGTATTTTATGCTTTTAAAAGTTATTCTATATACATAAATGGAGTGATTTAAACAAAATATGATTATGAATTTTAATTATTAGTTGTTAAAAATATTGGTGTGTTAATAATTTTTTTTTCATCTTTAAATTACTAAAAATTATAATTCCATTTGCAGATTCTTACATGTGATACTGAAGTTGAAGATGTTGCGTTTGACATTATTGTTACACAGTTTAAAGAAAAGGAAAAAGTGTCTCAGCATTTCACTTTAGTTGTTAAGAGGCTAGCTGGAAAGGTAATTCGGTTTAAAAACTGCACCATGCATTTATTATTTATTATTACTCTTTCATTGAATTATATTTTGTGGGGTAAAATCTCTCTCTGTTTATTTTGTTTCGGATTGTTAAAATATTTTAGTTTAATTATCACTTTTTTTTATTTTTTTGAAAGTAAGAAAAATATTTCGATTGGTTTGTGCAAGTAAAGTAAAAACGTTTATTTTTGTTTAAAGTTTATGTTTTCAGATATATTTAAGGAGCAAATTCATTATTTTATAATGCTGCATTTTTTTAATACCGTTGAAACCATTGTATCTTAAACAAATGATACATTTATCTTTTTGTGAGAGTTAGATTTAAAGTTTGTATTTATTTTCAATTATTTGTTGTTTCTTATATAATTCTTCATTTTGTATCTTTTTTTTTTGTAAAATATTCAGTTGTATGTAATTTTTTGAGTGTTTCAAAGAGGTTTTGTTAATTTTTAAAGTACAGTAGTCTCCGCTTATTGTTATTGTGGTTAATGTTATCCCCCGTGGCAGAATCGCAGCGACACGGCAATATTGTCGCAGAACATTACAGAGTTCTTGCAGAAACATTTTTCTTTTGAAAAGTGAGAAAAAATTACCTTTATTTATTTTTTGACAGTAATTTATGTGTTATATTTGAATTATGCATTTAGATAATCACTTTTTGACGCGCTCAATATACACTGATAGTATCGTAAATTGATGTATTGTTTCGATTGTATTTTCGTCAGTTATTGATATTGATTTTCACGTGGATTTTAAATATCCCAATAAACAACATGGAAATTTCGAATCGTGTATTTGAGTATTTACTTTTTAAGGTTATAATTCTGTCGAATTTCATCAGTTATTGCTATTGATTTCTCCATAGTTTTTAAATTCGATATTTTTAATACAATATTATTTTTATACAACAGCCTAATCTAGAAACGAAATATGCATTTGAGGTGTCTGATTCGCTTGATTTTGTCGTCGATCTTTTTTTCCACAGGACTACTACGGATTTAATGATTTTTAATTCTATTTTGATGATTAGTTACAAAAGGCGAAGGAAATAATTTCTGCGTCCCCCCTTCCCAACCAAATGTGAAAATGTTACCTATAATATTAGAATAAAAATTACATGTTTAAGTCAAAAAAGTTATATATATTTTTTTTTGTAAACACGGCACTTTTGTTATTTTAAATTTGTAACATACATGTTTATTATTATTAAAAGTATCTTTCAGAAAGATATTAGTGCTGGAGAGTTTCGTCGCAGATAGTGCAAAAAAATTCTGCCACAGGGATGTTATCAATCGCTTATTGTTATCAAAATCACTCAGTCCTGATTTTTTCTGTTCTGATTTTAT